GCGATAAGGCTTATTTGGTACCAGGTACTGGACTGCCTCCATACCCTGGGCCCCACGCTCATGTGCAGTGAAAAGTGGTCGGATGTGGACCAAATTCATTTTCAAAATCTGGTCATTTTTTTCTCTAGTTGGAAACACCAGTACCGTCTTAACATCATGGGAAGCATTCGCTGCTGAGGGAGATTTTTTTCACTGCCCCTCATTACCAAAATATTTGGAGGAGGTCCGAGTGCACGTGAGCGCATGTCACACTGAAGATCGCTGCTGTGCCTAGTACGAGAGAGATAACATTGTTCACGGTGCAACAGCGCCCTCACGTGCACTTGGACCCAATGGCTGTTGCTTGTTGTTCCTGCCATTCGGGCATAAATAATGAGGCCTGTGATTGGTCAGTGTGACCCCCAGGGCATCGCAGCAAACTGCCATTTCAAACAGTCAGTCCAGTCGTGGCTAAGAATTACACACACATTTACGGAAAGTGGCAGCAGTCAATTCCTTTATCTTGGGCATCAATCACATACCCTCTGAACTGTGGGGTCAGACTTCCGTGGGGGCGAACATTGGACCATAGTCAACAATTTGGTTGCGGCTTGTCTTCACAAGTACACGTGTGAACTGCATGGCTTTCGGATGGTGATTGGGAAATATTTGCATATTGTTTTGAAAATCGGCATGGTTTGGACCCCTTTTTTTCTTGGTAGCCAACAAAGTATGAAGGTATTTAGAACTCTTGGGGGAATGGAGCAGCACATCTGTGGGTGGGCCTACGCAAGGGCTAGTCCGAGTAATTTGGACCCTACAAATCGCCTTTTTTTGACATTTGGACATCGTAGGGTCCAAGTACCTTCTATACATGTAGGCTTTTGCTTCCATTAATTCATTTCACTCAAAATGGCTCATACCCTGAGTCTAAATCCTCCGAATTCACGTCTAAAACTGTCCTTTAAAATGTCTAATGCGCCTGTCTATGGATTAAGTGAGAATTGGAGATTCCAATAATGATAATATGGTTTACTCACATAGGAAGAATAGAGAAATTTCCCCTTTAAATCGGAAATGTTCTTGTTGACAAGCTCGAAGATGCCATCTTTCCTCAAATAGCGATTTGAACTATATGTTGATGTCCTATAGTGGACCATTCACAGAAAGCATGCTGTGTAGGCAAAGGCGCACTGACGACTGTTTCCTGAGCAGCGTCATGTTTAGTGTACAGTTTCAATATGGCCACAGCCACCAAACTTTGCACTGCTCAAGAAATACCGATAGTCCTCGACACGTGTGTACCAACACGACATACTTTCTGTGAATGGTCCGCTAGGCCAGTGCACAGTGACGTCGTCAACAGGACATCAACATATAGTTCAAATCGCTATTTGAGAAAGATGGCATCTTCGAGCTTGTCGACGAGTGTTTCCAATTTAAAGGGGAAATTTCTCTATTCTTCCTATGTGAGTAAACCATATTATCATTATTGACATCTCCGATTCTCACTTAATCCATAGACAGGCGCATACGACATTTCAAGGACAGTTTTAGAGGTGAAGTCGGAGGATTTTGACTTGGGGTACAAGCTATTTTGAGTGAAATGAATTAACCCTAACAGTCCTAAATCCTCCAATTACAATATGATTTTACATACACCCTAGGGGGTTAAGGGTTGGAAGCAAAAGCCTATGGATGGTACTTGGACTCTAATTAATACGGTGACGGTACTATCGCCCGACAATGTCCAAATGTTAAAAAAAGGCAATTTGTAGGATGCAAGTTCCACAGGATCCCCGTTCATGCCCTAGTGTTAAACATCATGTCAAACCTGCGGCAAAAAGGGCTTGTTTTCTTGGGGATTCATGGGAGTGGGGTGGACATCGGACCCCACAGTTCTGGGGGTACACTTCACTCTATCATGTGGGCCAGGTGACATGCATGTTTGTGCCGTCATACTAATTACCGTCAACAGTTAACGGACCATCAACACACTGTAAACACAGTGTCAACATTTCCAAAACACGTTAAAAATCAAAGGAAGTGGTACTCGACTGTAACGTGTTTGCCTGAAGGATATTTTTGCTAAACCTCAACAAATTAGACTCAGGAAAATTGCCATTTTAATTTGGCCAAATCGCCTCCTTCGAACCAGCTCAGAAATAAGCAGCCATGTTGCCTCTGGGACAACTGGGACCATACCATTACGCTAGAGGGGTGGTGATATTATATGATAAAGAAACAATGCCTTATCCTTTAAAATTCTATATTTTTATTTTACTTAAGATTGAATAATTGTCCCTCTTTGTATTTTGACAATAACCATGTTAAATAAAATCTATGATGTTGTTTCTGCTATATTGATTTTTACTCTCTTATAACGGCTGTTCCATGTCAAGACATATCTAATACACAGACTGAGCAATAAGATACTACATGTACAAACGGGCCCTTTTTAAAACTCTGGCAGCAGTTTAGGTATCTTGACATGGAACAGCCGTCCAGACGATGAGGGGTCAAGTGATGTAATGCTCAACGACCTTATTTTAAAGATGGCGACTGACAGAGCGAGCCTGTTAGATTGAATGGATAAAGGCAAAAAGACTGGAAAATACCTGAATAAAGTGAGTGAAATCATTCAATAAATGCTTTTTAGAAAGCGGAAAGGTCAAGAATCATGTTCGTGTGCAAAAGAAATTGCGCCAACGTTGATAAGTGGGTGCGCCAGAATGTTCAATACGCCGACACGAAATTGCGTATACGGATGTGTGACTATGGATAGGGAGTGAGAGTCCGTGCCACACAAGTGGGGCTAGGCACGCTTAGTACTCAGTGGTAGTGGTAAGCATTCGATCACACACCGTTTTCTTCAAATTCACCAAGAAACGCCTAGCCTGCGTTGTGTATTTCCTCACCTCTTTAAATTCTATTGAACTACAATCTGCATGTTTGAAGCACTAAAACCTGTGAAGTAACGTTCGGCTGCTTCAGAATTCAGTCATGCCGAAGTCCACATTCGCAGTCACACATGTCACACCGCACCGCAGCCATCTCTTCAAATAACATGCAGCGCCACCAATCGGTACCCTAAGCCCAACCTATTCAACAAACATACTACGGTGGCCGAATAGTGCCACAAGATAGTACGCAAACTGCTTCCCAACGGCCGCCAGTTATTCTAGGGCGGCCACAAAGTATTTCTCTAGCGACCACCACATAACTTTTACCACTTATAAAGCACTAATGCCTTGACTTCAATAGCCCACATTTTGATTGGCGACTACCAGAAATTTAATAGGCAATAAAATTAATTTTTCTTAGACTCACATTTTTGGATCTTTTACACTTTCTTCAACGTAAGGAAACTGTTTGAAACCCTTTTAGAGTTAAGAGTATTGAATCCAATTTTGCTCTTTTGAAAACATTTGTGACAAAAGGTTACTGGTTACCTGCTGGCTTATTGCCAACATATGCAACAATAAATTGCCAAAGATATGGAAATTTTCGAAAAATATAAAATCCCAGCCTTTTTTTGTGCACAACTCAATGCAACATTAAGGTTTCGGTGGATGATTGGAATGACATTACAGTTTCGCTCATGAATATGCAAAGTCTCATAGCAAATAAAAAAAAATGAAAATGAGATATTTGAAACCTAAAATCGCGCTCTTAAGGTCTGCAGTAAAATAATCAATGGTCACTTTAAGCAGCCGTCCTATAATACATTTAAGTGGGGCATTGGCGGGCGCCAGATAATGAGTTTTCACTCGCCTATCAAATAAATCCCTTGCACTGTCCGGCCTCCGTAGGTTCTGGACAGAATTTCCTAGTTTACAGAACAGTTGAGTAGGCTACATACTTTTAGGCCTAGTGCGGAATTCCCCTGGCTGCGAACAGCATTGTTGAAAATTATGAAGCTGACTGAAAATACCAACTGAGAGGTACGGCATTTCGTGTTGTGCATCGAGGACACTCTGGAGAAATCTTACCAACCATTCCTGACACAAAACTACTGGACATCACAATGGTGAGGATTCTGGCAAATGGTGACATCGTCCAAGATGATGACCCTCGAGTACGGCAGTCTCCTCATGCTCCAAATAGATCAGGCCCTCGTATGGTGAGCATTATGTGTACAGTGTGCAGCATAAAATGTAACGCGGATGAGCATTAACTTTGCCATAAAGTGTGTAAAACGTTCGTGTACAGGTGTATCAAGTTTATAAGATTTTTGTGAAAAATTTATGCTGTAGAAATGCAATGTGATCGTGCTGACAGATCGCGCCCAACATACTCATTGTTTGCTGCGGCAGTTTGCAAGGATAATTCAGGGGTGTACCACTGAGACATTCATTTAGAGCAGACTGAGAGTAGATCCTAAGTGGGAGTTGGAATGCGGCATTATGAGTACAAGCTGCTGGTAATTGTTATCCTCTTCATAATTGCCAAGCAATGAGCATACCTGCTTAGTGTTACTTCATTGATGGATGATGATTTGTCTACGGGGAACAGGTCAACTCAGTCATACCTTGACAACTCGTACCATCAACTCAACATAACTGTACCAACTTGTACCTTTGCCGAGTCGCACCTTGAACAACTCGTACCTCCAGTAAAGACAACTCGTACCTTTGCGTACGAGACAACTTGTACCTTCACAGAAACCAGAGCTTATTATTGTTGTAATTAACTTGAACAATAATTTGATTTATTGTGTTCGTCACCTAATTTGCCGTTGTGACTACACTTCCTCAACATTGTGTATGTGCGTACGCGGTCAGGCAACTGGCACTGTGCAGAAAATCATGCTGGGGCTCGAGATCTCTCCAGGAGATTTATGAAGATTTTTTCTTGATAAAAAAAAATATTTGTCAAATCTGATCGTAAACATGCTGAAAAGGAAGAGCAAGAAAGTTACAATGAAATTGCAAACGTGAAGGTACGAGCGGTCTTAACTCGAGGTGCGAGTTGTGCAAGGTACGAGTTGTCCAAGGTACAAGTTGCCCATGCTACGAGTCGTCCAAGGTACGAGTCATCTAAGGTATGAGCCGCCCAAGGTACAAGTTGACTCGAAGCTGTCAATGTACTGCATGCAGTTTATTTCAAGTATGACTTTCATTCACTTTTCCAGGGTTTCATCCAGCACAACGCAGATCCTCACCAGTATGGCCACGATGGTCAAGGGGCCGCAGGATACCAGGGGCACGGCATCTCCATTTTTGATACACTCAACCAACGGCTACTGAATTTGGGCATTCCATGCTTCAACCTTGGACCATATGCCATCCAGCCCATCGTCACGGTGGGATTCCTCCTGGCTATGCTTCTATTTGGACTACCTGGCTTACTGTTCGCTGGAATCCTGTTTGCTGTCGTGAAGCTCAGCGGTGGGGCTGGGGGCGGTGGTAGTGGCAGTGGTGAAAATGGTGGCGCTTGGGGTGGTGCAGGCCGTAGCACAGGAAGTGGGGATGGACAACGGAGGAATAGAGCTGGAAGGGTGATCCGACACAGATGATCTGATCAGCGCTGTCAGCGTTCAAATCATTCCTTCACTGAACACACTGCTTTTTGTGGCAGTTAGTACATGTATTACTCTTTCAGTTGTGCCTGGGAAGATGTACATGTACCAGCTACTGTAGCCCAGATAGGACACATCTGACATTTTAACTGAAGCAATGCAGTAAGGGAGTCCGCCTGCTGGGCTGCATCAAATATTGAGCATCTGTTTGTCCATACATATACATGTAGGTCACTGCATGTACATGCACTACATTGTCACAGATGACAATAGACATGTGTTGAGCAGTGATGGTGCCCTCTAGTGGGGAAAGTTAACAAGAGACTGCAGAAAAGGTACATGTGTGATACTATAGCACCGTGTCTGTTACATTAACATGGAATGAATAGACATGTACATGTACTTTACACTTCTTTACATCATCCATGTAAACAAATTTAACTGCCTGTGATATCCATGGTGATTACCAACTCTTTTAACATTACATTAACATGGAATAGCATTTTACCATCCTGGCTGCCCAGAGAGTTTGAGAAAATATATTTAGTTTTATTTAATTTTAATCAGTTTATTTTCAATTTAAATCTCAATGTAATAAGTGAGTGGAGGGATCTACATATATATAGTTAGTTCAAATCAGTATTGTCTGTCCTTTTTGTATAGATTTACCTAGTTTTTCTAATTTTGTTTGAATCCAGATTTTGGTCAATCTTACAGGGAAAGTTTAGTTCTTTCAATGCAATCAGTTCTGTACTTATCTCTAGTAAGAGCATTTTCACAAAGCAGAAAATGAGTAAACTGGTTTTTATACATCCCAGAAAACTTTGTTGAAAAAGATCACTCTAGAAACTGTCTTCATGCATCTTTAAATTTTAAGGATAATCCTATGAGGATAATCCCATGAAATGCGAGACTTTTGTCTCATCTCAGTGCAAATTAGAGTGAAGAGTTGAAAGGTGGTTTCCAGACAGGCTATGAAACAGTAATGTTGAGCCAGTGGACATGTATTTCAGCAAGGAATGTAGATAAGGGTGGATCCAGAACCATTTCTTTTTGGAGGGGGCAGGGGCAAAATCATTTCGGGGTGGCCAAAAAATTTGGAGATGTTTGTTTTCATTTGATCATGGCAGTAGGATTAACCTGTCAAGGCCTTTCTGAGGGTCGAGGCTCGTTTGGGTGCTTTTTAGATGCTTTACACAAGAAAGGAAATGAAGACGACCAAAACAAAAATTGCCTTGGTGTTTCCTTTCACTCTGTCTTTTTGCCACATCATTGCACTTGTGTGTTAATACCTTGTCCCGTTTTTTTCCCGTCATGGTTGTACAGTAAACATGTCAGACAAGCCTGTACTTGTACATATGCCCACTAAACTTCTAGCATTCACTGGGGCCATTTTGCAAAGTGTGTCCCACTGAACTTCTAAGCATTCACTTGGGCCATTTTGCAAAGTGTGTCCCACTGAACTTCTAGCATTCACTGGGGCCATTTTGCAAAGTGTGTGGAACTTTTGGTTACTTTATTGAGTCTCCTAGAATTTTCATTATGCAAAACTTCAATTTGAACCAAACTACTGGAACAAAGCAAGACTTGCATGTACCTAAATAGGGGTGGAACAAGTTGCTTGTTGTTGTGACTCAATTGAGTCGAGTCATTGGAACAGTGACTCATTGTACATGTACCACAGTGACTGAAGTCGAGTCATTAGGCAGAAAGTCAAGTATTTAGTTTTGAGTCAATTTGAATCATCACAAATACACAATAAGATGAATACAAACAAGAGAAAAGTTCATTTTTTTGGTAGTTAACATTCCTTTAAGGTTTCTTTATGTGATCACACCACCTTACTCACGTGGAAATTATCAACCAGTGCTGTAAGCCATTACAAACATTTTATTGTCAAGAAGTTGCTTTTTATTTTGGGGGATTTTGAGTCTTATAAACTTTCACTCAAAAGGTCTTCTAATGAGGGTCTTCGAGTTGACTCATTGCCTGTGGGGACTCGATTCACCAAAAAATTGTGATTCAAGTCAGACAAGTCAAGTCATCGAGTCGAGTCATTACAACCCTGACTTAATTTTATTAAATTTTAAGGGTTTATTTGAACTTGGTGATTAGTGAAACTCTCTTCATGAAATACATGTGAAATAGCACCACGAACAAAATAGACTACTGTACATGTATTTGGTTTTCTTTGCAATGCTTTTATTAAATTCTGAAAGTTCTGTTTGCACTTGAAAAATTCGGAGAGGAACAATAAGGCAAACCTTTTAAACTATAGAAAATAATGTTTGCAGAGTCAAGCCTTTTTTAAAAAGTCACTCTACAACTTTTCTGTTGTCTTCCATATATATATAGACTTGTTATGTATCCATAATTTATCAACACAGCATACAAAAGCAACTTAACAGGAATCAACCCCCCTTTGTTGGGAGATCATTTTTTGAAAGGGATAAATTCTTCTTTTCATGTTTTTACATGTTTTTGTAACATTCCGTCTAACTTTGTGACTAAATTGCAACTAATACCATGAGATGCGTGCTTGTCTCGGCTAGAAAACGTTCCCTAAAATCAGTTCACTTTAATAAACCAGTTCTAAGCTAATTTACCAGTTACATGCTTTTCTTTAAAGGACAATTTTCAAAACAACTTTTTTTCTGTGCATGACTGCTACTAAATTTAGCACACAGCAGAAGCATCACGATGAACCTTCATCATAATGTATGACTCGTGTTAACATCTGTAAGGCCACACTTTTATGGATTATGGATCCACTGAATTCTTTTTGGCCCCCCCCCCAAATTGTTTCTGCCAACTTATGAATATTAAAGCATCAAAAATGAATATGAATTTCACTGTTAAAATATCGCCACACAACCAGGAAAGAATTGGGCTGTCTGAACTTTATCTGGCCACAAACTCTCCACATTTTTCGTTGAAGATACATATACATGTACGGCAAGCATATTGGGAATTTTGTGGCCAATAGATATGGCAGAGAAGAGTACGTCTGTGAAAGCAACTTTACTAAACACGGACTGATTACATAAACAGTAACCAGTACTTACAGTTCTGGCGTGCAAAAAAAAGTACATGTTGAGCTGGCTTGTGATCCGGCGATTTACATAATTTTTATCTTTCACTTTTTCCCAATATTTTCCATATCAAGACAGTTAATTTAACAAAAGGAAAAGTGACTTTTTCTTTGTGAAATTTCTTCCATCACAGGAGTTTTGTCAAGGATCTTCGTCTTCTTTCACTTGTGCTCCGTAGAGTTGGTCCGTGCAGGCACACCTAACAAAGCAAGAAAGAATTTCCCAGTTTGTTTTACGTTTACTTCCATTTCCCCTCCATCTCCATTTTCTTGCTGAAAACAAACAGTTTCAAGAAAGTCTAATTAATTTTACTGATTTGTTGAGATCTGTGCTCCATGAAAGTGTGGCCTTACTGACTGATGCTACCAAGAATTCTGTTTGCCATATGGCATCAAACCTCTTATTTCAATGAACACGGGGGCACACTTTGGCAATCCTGGTTTAAAACTATGAACTGCTGATTGTCAGTCTTGGATACATTAATGTTACCATGATAATACAATAAGAAGAAATATAAGAAGCTGTTTATACCAAAGAGTTAAAGGTGATTAACATGGATAGCACTGATATCATATCTTAACCTAAGGTGGACCGCATCCACAATGTATTTTTTAGAATATAAAGCTGTCACCGGGCCAACCTTCCAATGAAATCTCATTGCACATTAAACAAACCATACTTCGGGGTACTAGACCGTGCCTGCCCAGTCAAAAGACGGTGTTCGAAACAGGCTTCCAGAACTAGGGCTAGGTCTACTGTCTGCGCGTCTCCACACATTTCCAATGGAGCGAAGACCTAGACCTAGCTCTAGACGAGATGAGGATGCAGCCAAAGTGATTAAGTTAGATTCCTCCCGTTTTTTTCCCTGAAAAAAGTTCAGTTGACAGACCTGAATGTACAAATACCCTTCGCAGACATTTGTCAACAAAGCTAAGGTAATATTTCTTATTTACATGGATGGATAAACTTCGCTAGGAATTTGTCCAGCATTTCTTCATGCAACGGTTTTTCAAGGCACACAACTGATTATCTTCAAACATTAAGTAGATATTCAAAGATGATCTTCAGCCAGTAATACTACATGTATATTAATTACCTGATGCAAAGTTCCAATTATTTACAGAAAATGACGCAGTAAGAGACCCCCAAAAAAGCACAGCAAATATGAGCTTCACATTACTAGCAATGAAGCAACAGTTCTATGTGGTGTTTCTGTTTTTATGTAGCAGGTTTGACCCCCAAAGTTTTAGCTATTTAATAACCATCCTACACAAAATACTCAGAACAAAATATCTACATCTGACCATAGTGAATGTGAGAGATTAGTTCTCAATGGGACACAGAGAATAAATCCTCAGGAACAACAGATAACAGGAACACAATGCGACTTTCCATTTTCAAATCAAGATGTGGAAAATGCCCAAGGAGGGTTCCACAATCTGGCATTAAAGGAGCATTGGCTGAAATCGTGTATTTAGCGATATTGTAAAAATAACTGCTCAACTACCAAAAAACAAGCCGCAATGAAATTTCTTCCTTTGGAAATACTGTTCTTTAAGTGACAAACAAAAAGTTGAACAGAAAATCAGAAGTTATTCATGAAGAAATAAATAGATGAACCTACCGTATAAAACACCAGTACTGCTAAAGTCATAAAAAATAAATCCTTGGCCAAAAAGACCTTTACAGTTCATAAATATGGGAAATACCCTGCCACCAAAGACAATGATCAGGTACTGTTCATATAAATTAAAGATTTTCAAGATCAAGAGTCTCTTGTTACATGTACGAACAAGTACGAGTTATGTAAAAATGCTTCATGGTGCAGTGGGAAAACACTATTCACCAGCCAAATTTATTTTCAGTTTCAAAATCATGCATTTACCAGCATGCATGTGTGGAGAATATTACGTTTTACCTACATGAACAAGAAATAACTTTTTAAGTTGAATATAAATTACATGATGGCCCGGTACTAAAGACACTACGTGTATATTAATGCTGCTTGCTGGAGTGGTCCTTCACGATATCCCACTTCTGCCACTAACATAGCCTTCGCCCTTTCCTATACAGTGCAGGAGGCATGCCAGAAATGCGCTCACTGGTAAAGCTACATAGATCATGTAGTGATGTATCTGGCTTTCGAAGGCGCAATCCCCTTCAACATTCGGATCAGCACATTGTTGTGTGAACTGGCGACTGATTTTGCCCATTTGGATTACTGTTCTGCACTTGCACCGTGTGGCGCTGGGGCATCTGGGGGGTCATTTCAATGCCCTCACCGGAGTCCCTCTTCTCGTTCCGCTCCTTGTCTTTCCCCTTCCGCTTCTTCTTTTTGTGCTGCCCTCCATTGCCGCCGTTGCCCCCCGAACTTTGGCCTCTGGCCTTCGACGAGGACGGGCTGGGGTCAAAGTGCTTGAGGACAAAAATGAGGTCGGTGGACAGGAGAGGGAACTCGTACGGTGGGTTGGTGATGGTGTAGCGCTTGGAGGAGGGTGTGTTTGTTGAGAGGGTTGAGTCTCGGAATCGATAGATGCCAAAGCAGAGCATGCCAAATTTTTTTAGAGCTTCCACAAAGAGGTCTCCGTACATGCCTCCGTCCTGGAAAGAAATAGGTTATCATTGTATCACAGAGATATCCACTTCTTCACACACATGTAGTTGTCTACAGCATACACAACTGGTGAAAAACGGGCACGGGGGCATCAAAGTCTGGACATAAAAGAGCTTAATGTAAGAGATAAACTAATGTGACTTACACAGGCAACACAACTGCTTCTGGAAAATGGAATGAGGAGGATACAATCAATATTAGGAAAGGGAACACACACCGCCTTATCAGAATTACACTCAAAACACTTTAACACTCCAGATCCCTCCAATCATTCAAGGCTTGAGAAAGGACAAATATTCCTTATTTTAGAAACACTGAACTACTCACGCCAAAATAGGACAAGGGTCCATCTATGAGTGGTATTTGGGCTACAAGGCACCGATCTCGATTGGCTAGGAGGTCGGGAATGCTGAGCCCTGGCCTCATATCACCGCCTTCGGCTAGGATCTGCTCCAGTTCGGGAGTGGCGCCCCCTGTAATTAATGTCCTGATCAAGGTCAGGGCATTGTCGTTGAAGTACGTCTGTAAAAATAACATAAGGTGTCTCAAAAGTCTTCATCATTACAGACGACGCTTCAATAGCATGTACATCTACGACTGAAAGTTCTATCAACACAAACCTTAAAATTATATTACTTTACAGCGTATCTTAACCCCTTCACGGCGGGATTATTTTGACCGCGACT